CGTTTGCAGAATCATTCTGACGTAATAAGCGTGTACGTCGCGTGTCGCAATATAAAAAGCAATTAAAATTGTCCGTCCGGTCGGATCGCAGAAGGAAAAACGTCACATAAGAATACAGAAGCGAACGATTCTAATTGCTCAGAATTCGAATGCGGTTCGAACTGAGTACGGAATTCGGTTATGTGAACAATTCATGATTCAATTTCTTTTTGAAAAGAAAAGAATATCTTTTTTTGAACTTATAACTGTCAGTACATTAAATTTATTCATATAATCAAACCGACACAGATGTTGACATTCTAAGCGTGGCTCCGAAATCTCTGTACAAAACATATCGTCATCTCTGTCATTCACTTTGACAAAACAGAGATAACAATATGTTTTAATCGGAGATTTTATCTCAGAAACTCACAGTGAAAAGACTTAAGTATAATATTAAATAGGAAAAACTACACTGACTCTTAAACAAAAAGTTTATTCGTAGAAAAAAAGATTTATTATCCTTCTAGAACTACTTACAACAATAAATTCTTAATGTCTTCTCTTTTTAGAACAGACCATAAATAAGGTACTGCATAACAGATGGCGCTGTATCTCTAAACGGTACAAAGAAGTGAAACAACGTTCAAATAAGTTTAAATATATTAAAAGTTACTACAGTAAAATTAATTCCAATTATCAAAATAAAAAAAAAGTCCTAAATAAATATAAAAGAATCACCAATCATACTGATTGTATTCAAATATTGTCTAAATAAAGAGGCCCGAGTCAAGTTGAGTACTCGGCACCTGTTTAAAATTCAATATTCGTTGTACGCAAAATGGAAATTCCCCAAAACGAATTCGTTGAAAGACTTAAACTCTAGTAAAACGTGCTTTATACAACTTTTCAGGAATTATATTTTTTTCTTCTATAAATGCAGCCTATACAGCGACAGGGACAGCGCCAACAGCTACCTATTATACAACTCGTTGCTGATAGAGTAGGATTGGACTGTCCAGTGCCAGTCCATGTGGACACGTCTGCATGTGATCTAAAGAGTTTTGTTTTATTTTGTGTTTTTATTTTTGTGTCTGAATTTTAAATTTGTATTTTTTCTTTGTGTCTGAATAAAAAGATTTATTATTATTACTATACTCGTATTAACGATTTTAATTTGTATGGACACCACCATCGCTTGAAACACCATCTTGAATCTGCATTTCTAATCTTACTACTATTATAAATGGAAAAGTTTGGATGGATGTTTGTTATTAGGTATTTCCGGAACGGCTCAATAGATCTTGTTGAAATTTGGCACAGATTTAGAACATAGTCTGAAGAATATTGTTCTTAATTCCGTAGTAGACGGAGTCGCGGGTGACAGCTAGTATAAGACATAAAACCATGAATTTTGAGCCTAATGTCAAACGATAATTTAAAATCTATTTCTAAACCCTTTGGAGACATATACGTTAACATTATCAAAGTAATTCCTAAGTAAAATAAACTATTTAAAAAGCTGAAAAAATAGATATCAAAGTAAATCCGGGTAACACCGCTATTAAGTAAGAGCCAGTTCAAAGAGGCCGCCTCAATGTAACAGTTAAATTAGACGGCTACTTAATCTTGCGATGCTACCGTCTGTTTCACTGCCGACAATTAAAACTTTACCAGTTACCGCGAAGGCTTTCAAGTTGAATCTTGTAAAACTTCAATAGTTTTCTAGTTGTGTATTGAGACAAGTTGCATCAAGTTGTTGCAATAATAAATTCATAAGTTCATTTTCATACATTTGACTTAAAGAGTTTCAAATAAGTCAATTATAGAGCGGACATGAGGATTATTTTCCTTATAAAGAGTTTAATCAACATCAGTAGTGGTGATGTTTGATGATGTCACTTCAAATACAGAAGTGTCAAGTTAAATGGTAACATTTTGTGGACTAGTTTCTGTACTTTAAATGGAGATATATGTCTCAGAAAGCCATGGTAAATATGTGGAACTATATTTAATAGATGTCTTTAATTAAGTAATAAAGTATTTTTACTTACCGTTCTTACTTCGCTTTCGGCCCCGTTAGCTAAGTATTGGGTTTGTTTCAGATTCGGTGCAAGCAGTTGCCTGAAAAAGAAAATAAATGTCAAATATATATTTTAGATGTAATATTTTTAATTTAACTAAGACTCATTTTATTTATATTACTAATATGAATAAAATGAGTCTTAAATCTATGTATTAGCCTCATTTATTTATTAAAAAAAATAAAGTAAGACTAGTTAATGAAACCGTAAAAATACACGGTATATATTAAAATAAGTAGCTACATTTGATGACAGTCTAACGAATTTGATTAACTTTCCTTAAATTAATTTTCGACAAATAGAATTACGAATGAAATGGCAAGTAAAATACATAGACCGGTAAAAATAGACAGGCCTTTTTATAACTCAATATTATATTCATAAAATGTGCCATACGTTCAGTCCCGCATTGAAACCGTGCCAACGTTCGCGAGCGAACAAATATTCACGGTTGTGTTCATTCCAATTGCGTATAGATTCGAGAGAAAATTGAACCGGAGAATAAATCTTTGACAAACTATAATTGCTAACAAAGTGACTATACTGCACGCGAATTTTGTTAAAATATATCAAAAACTATCTTTATTTTTCTGGTACAGTTTTACTGTTGTTTTACATGAAACAAGAACAATTAAGACATCAATTATAACCAAAAAAAAACAATGATAAATACGTGCATTTTTTTTAGCCGACTTCAAAAAGAAGGAGGTCAAGAAAGAGGTCAAAAGAAGAGAAATTTATTATTTTCGGGGGTGTTTGTTCATGACATGATTTTGTTACTTTATAGTGCATTTTATTTAAGAATGTTACTTTGTTTGCAAATGTTTTTTTATGGAGTCGACTTTCTTTTTTTCTTAAAAATTTTGTTTTCATGTTTGACGCAACATTTCTGGGTTAAAATAAACATACATGTATATGAAAGAGGTTTACAAACTGCTTGTTACATATTCATTAGCGATATATGTCATCTTACATACATCCATACATCTTTACATACATATAATAATACCTAACATGTCCTAATGGTGTTATAATCTGCAACATAATTATTATAAATAATTTAACCGTGCCCAAAACATTGCTACAGGAGATAATCCAATTCTAATTCAGTCTAACCGTGGGTTTAGTCGTGGGTGTCGATATTTTTATACAGATATTTTGGTGTCAAAAACCCACGGTAAGTCGATACTCAGATGGTCACTTTAGTAGAAGAGTTTTCTTACTAATTCTACACTAAGGGCTAAGGGTAATCCTTTAAGCACCCTGAGTAGGTAGCTAATAAAACATTTCAGTCTTTAGACAGCTTAAAAACTTTTCAGATCAAATAATCTGATATCATCTTGTAAAGTTATTTGAATAAACAAATTTAAATGTACACATAATAAGAGGCGATGTAATCCCGCCGACGTTCGCATTATAATTAAGATAATTTCTCTAAAAGCAAACGTACCATCGTTTGCGTAAATTGGAGGTAGGAAGTATTTGGGAGACAACAAGAATCTATGTTAATTCACGCTGAGGTAAGGCACTTAGTATGATAATCAAGTCATCTGAGATACGAATAAAGGGGATATGTTAAGCAGGATGTAATGTGTTAATTTTGTAGATGCGTGTTTGTTATTTCTTTACAAACAACATGACACAACAAACAACTTAACAACGTTATAATCGGACTAAGCTTGTGTTTACTCATGAAGTCAAATAGTTGAATTTTTAATCGACAACAACTTTATAATAAAAAAATCTAGTAGATATAAAAACGCGCATATATAGGTAACCTAGTTGTCGTCCGCGACTCCGTCCGCGCGTATTGAAAAAGAATCTTATTTAGCAGTCTTTGTGATCTTCCAGATTATTCTCTACATCTATGCCAAATTACAGCGAGATCCATGCAACCGTTTTGAAGATATCTTGAAACAACCATCCATTCAAATATTCGCATTTATAATATAAGTAAAATAAGATAACGCTCATGATATACTTCATTACGTATCTTTTATTTTGGTTATATTACAATTGCTAAATGATTGATAATTACATTACAGCAACAACTATAATAATGTACGTTACTAATGGTTAGTTAAATTGATTAATTGCAAACGTAATTAGGCGATGACGATGCAGACGTGGCTGCCATATGTACCATGTACTGCGTCTAATCATTTCTCACATTGTAATAAAAACAAAAACAATTGAAAGAACGTTAAAGTGACGTCATCAAATGTTTTCTTCTTTCGCGCCGTTCTATCAATCGTTCTTTGCAGCCAGTGTTTTTATACAACTATCTAAAAGAAAAATATAATTCAAATTATACAGTTTCTTGGGTCGTTTAATTCCAAGAAATGTTTGTATGGATAGATGAATGTTTGTTTGAAGGTGTCTCCAGAAGCGCTGAACGTCTTAAGTGTGGCAAAGTCTGGAAGAACACATAGAATCCGCGGGCGACAGCTAATATGTTTATAAATAGTTATCCTCGCTGAATAGAATCATATCATCTCGCTCTGTCCTCGTGAGAATGATTAGTATATATTTTTGTATAGTCCCGGCAATATCCACGATTAATGTGACGTAATGCGATCGTTTAAAAAATACTGGCACAAAAAATCTTTGATTCGCGATTGAAAAACATCTATTCAATGCAATTTCTTTAAGTAATCACTAGTTTAGAAGTCAAATGAATGTAGGCGATCCAATCAATTGGAGCAAAACCTTATCCGTCCACTGAATGCGATTTATGTAGAAGAACTTTTAAAAGAACTGAGGCTTTCTAGAAATTCTAGAATTTTAAATATTCCGAGTGTGTTTTCTTTTATTATGTATTTTATCGTAAATACTTAAATAAAAAGAAAAGGAACTTGAAAATATTTTACGGTTATTACTTTTTAATACGAAATAAAAAAAACATAATTTAAACCGTGACGTATCGTAACATAAATTAAGTCTCATTAAAACGTACAAAATATTTTTTAATTATTTTTCTAAGACATAAACAACGTGATACGATCTTCCTTACGTTAAGCTTGCGTACTGTGACTTGAAAAGAGTTGATTTATTTAGAAAATACTGTTTCTATTTCTAGTTTAATATATTCGATGTTTTCAGGCGTGATTTTCAGGACACAAGAGATATTGTGATAGATAACGTAAGTTCTAAATATGCGTGACTGAACAGATGTTAATGTTATTGGAAGAAAGTGCTAACACGCGTAAAAAGCAATATGTTGTATGTTAAGGTCTAAAGTAATAAGCAATCTGTATTGTGATTTTTTTATATAAGCAGATTTTTATCAATTTACAAATATCCTTTGTATCTAGGATATGGTTTACAATAGTCAAATATCGGCATTTGAATTATCGACCACGTGATCGGAAGTCCGTACTTTTAACCATTAAGTTATTGGCGCTACATGCATTTAAACACAACTTTATAACAAAAGAGAATTGAATTTTAGAATCATTTGTTTTGAAGTAAGTACTCATGACTAAAGGTAAAGACTTCCGATATGATAGTTTATCCGAAAACTTTATGTTTTCTTTTTTAATTATTATTCGTAAAGTTCGAATCAATTTAAATCCAATATTGTGTTGAATGCTGTAACAACTATGCAATTATTGAATCTCAATATTTGGCATAAATCCAATACAGTATCATTAAGGTTATTCAAACGTTTGCGCTGAGTCAGCCACCGCGGCCGCAACCGGACGCGGTTTAATTATCAGGCCGGTTATGATTGACGCTCATCCGCTTTTAATGTCTTGCCATAGTTTAAACTAAGTCAACTAGATTCTCTAAAATTTCCACTAGTCGCCTTAAAATAAAAAATTTCTGCTTGGCTGTATTCATATGACATCCCTAAGTACAATTTTAAACGAATTACTCTTCATTTCAAATCAATCAAAACGTTTCAACTATAATAGTTGTATTTTACGCCCGATAGATGGCGCTGCACAAATTTGGTATAAATGGGTTAGTCACAAATATTCGTGCTAGACCTTCCCATCACTTAGTTGGAATCTAATCTCTAATTTTAACAATTAGTAATTTGTGTAATATGTAGACATTTAAGCTTTAAAACTTATTTATATTGCATTGGCTATATTTTAATTATAAATGTCGAAGTGTGGAAATTAATATGAATTAAATATACACAGGTTAATTGCTGCCAACAATAATGTGAACTTCAAAATAAGTTCTCATGTCGTCGTTAAATTTATTTGTAATGAAAACTGTACAAAAGGCAACGAGTATGTGCATATCATTTTGTTCTCATTTAATAATATTTGCTCTGTGAATACGAAACTAAACTTAGCTGCGAGTTATACAGAAAATAAGAAGTTGTGAAACGGAACGCGAGTCGAGTTTGAATTTCGTCTGCGATGCGTTCCTTTTGATGCAAGTAAGCACTCGTTAAAACAACAAGGAAATAGATACATTTTATACTCGTATGCTTGCAGAATACTAATGTATTTGTTTTAATTACTAATTTTTAGAAATATTAGTGATACAAAGTGTAAGTTTCTGACTCCAAAATTTCTGTATCATATCCACATTCCTGTCATTATACAATAAGTTTTAAATGACATTTTGAACTCAGAAACCCACGGTTAATGAGGGGGGAGGTTAAGGTAATCATGTATGTAGTTAATTAGATTGTAGTAGTGTTATTAAATGGATTTAAAAATTCTCAAAAGCGAGAGAATTGCGCGGGATGTGATTCCCGAGTTTTCCGTCGCTTTTCTTAAAACTAAAAAGGCAAAGGTTCACTGGCCAGTATGCCACGTTTTTGGCAGAATGTTTCATTCTGTACTCAAAAAAAAAACAAACAGACGAATGAGGACCTGCTCCGTTTTGGCAGTCGGTTAAAAAGAGCAGAGAAGTAATGAAAACATGATATTAAAAACTACAATTTAAAAGAAAAATAATATGAGCTAATCGTATACATGTTTAACATCCGTAAAAGCAAATACTATACCAATAGTATTGGAAGATGTATATGCGTTTGAATATAAACAGTGTCAGTTATTTAAGCCACCATTACAA